TCTAAAAAGTAGCAATGTCTTCAAACACATGTGGAATGCTAAATCATTAATGCGAACTCTAAGCAAATAATCTTAAAATAACAGCCACACACACAGCAAAACTGGTGTTTTTACCCCATGCGGAGAAAATCACTGTGAATGAGATGCCCTGATGTATGTAAGCAAGGTGGGAGAGGTCTGCTTTGAAAAGAAAGTTCTGCACACAGAAACGCTATTCAATGGGATTTTCTCATTGCTTGCTCTTAAATCATTCCTCAGCATGAAAAATAACATGGAACAAAACCCCTGTTGGCACCTATGCTCCGTGGAATTGCAGATCATGATTAATATGACCACTTTAGACTTTTGGGCACAGTGGAGTTTTTTAGGCTATAGAGAAGTTCACAAATGAAAGCTCAGGAACAGACAAGGTTCAGGTTTGAGAGTTATCACTTGGTTTTAAAGTACACACAAGAATGCCAGCATTCCAAACCATGTTTCTTCAAAAATCTCCTATCCATTGTCTGTTGCTACCTTTAATTATCCATTCACTATTGTGCTCTCCACCAGTGGGAGGTGAGTGGGCAGGCAATAAACATGTTTATCAATTTGAAGAGTTCAGCTGCAGCTTAAATCAGCAGCTCACATTCAAGTTAGAAAGCAAGTAAGCCAGTATGAAAGTTCATCAACAAGGCTATGGTGGAGAACTATACCTTCCATCCTTGTAGTAGCTTAAATTAATATTTAAAAGTAAAATCACTACCTTTTACCAGTAAAAAGTTAGTTTTCCAGGGAAACACCCAAAATAATACCAAATAAGTCCAGTTATGAAGCTAGAAAGCCAGCAGGGCTGTGTGAACTATCCAGTGTACTATACTGAGTACCACATGTATGATACAGAAGTTATGTAATGAGCTCCTGGTTCTCAGGGAACAAGTTCATTGCTGACCTGGAAAAGCAAAGAGACAGATATATCGACTAACAAGATCCTCAAGAGCCAATAGCAGGGTTCCAACTCCTGGGTGACAGCTCCTCTGCTGTCATGGAAAATGGGTGTCTCAGGAAAGAAGAGTATCATTCTGAGGAAGAGGGAGATGATCCCTTGGAAGGGGCTCAGTCCTTAGAAGGTGAACAGCTATCCACTTGCACTGAGGATGTGTCTCTGGTACAAGGACATTTGATCATTACAGACACAAAGATAGCTGCATTTGTGAAGAGCTTGCACTTGTACAGTAAATCATCTGCCTGGTTGGTGGCAATCGCATGCCATCTTGTAGATAGTGCAGGGGTGGAGTCCATGTTGGCACCAATGATGTGGGGAAATATAGGCATGAGATCCTGGAAGAAGAGGAGGCTGTTGTACTCTTCAAATAATATAACTCTTTTGCCTTTTACTCCATCTGAAATCCCAATTATTTTTGTTACAATGGAGCATGCTGTACATCAGCTTCAATTCTCAGCTGGAATGACTGGCTTGGCTGTTCAGAAGGCACCATTCTTCTGAATGACTTCCATCTTGGTCAAGTTGTTGTTATTAGTCGCGAAGTCGTATCCGACCCCATGGACAACACTCCTCCAGGCATTCCTGTCCTCCACCATCCCCTGGAGACCACCTAAGCTCACAACGACTGCCTCAGTGACTCCATCTAGCCACCTCATCCTCTGCCGTCCCCTTCTTCTTTTGCCCTCAATTGTTCCCAGTATTAGACTCTTCTTCAGGGAGTCCTTCCTTCTCATTAGGTGGCCAAAGTATTTGAGTTTCATCTTCAGGATCTGGCCTTCTAAAGAGCAATCAGGGTTGATCTCCTCTAGGACTGACTGGTTTGATTGCCTTGTGGTCCAAGGGACTCGCAAAAGTCTCCTCCAGCACCACAACTGAAAGGCCTTAATTCTTCGGCACTCCTTACGGTCCAACTTTCACAGTCATACATTGCAACTGGAAAAAAATGGAACTAAAAGTGAATCCAGAAAAATCAAAGATAATGCTGATTACAACAATAAAATTAATGTGATAAAATATGATGTGGTAATAAAAGTGACAAACCTTCCAAACAAACATGCAAAAAAAAAAAAAAAGCATAAGGCAAAAACCTACAATTGCACCTGCAACCCAGTCTGATAATAATCAGGGCAAGACCAGGGTAAACAACTAGAATTCTCTTAAAAATTATGAATGAGAAACAGGAAGAAAGGAAAGGAAGATCCATTCCATATTAACTTGAAGGAATGTATATTGGTGTCAGTTTCCTTGCACTGATTGTATAACGGCATGATTTCCTATATCACCTGGGGCTTTTTAAAACTATCTTTTGCATTTCCAATATAAGGAAGCGTACATAGTTTCTGTGTTTGCTTTATATAAAGAGAACTGAAGTCTTGTTTCTTCTTCAAAGGCTTGCTGTGTCAATATAAACTCCCTTTCTTTCCCTAGCACAAATATTATCAGTGTGGTACCATTCTCTTCACCTCTGGTCTTCTTGGGGATCCAGAGCTGGCTTGCAGCATTAATAAAAAAGCTCCAGCAGCAGTTACTGTCTTTTCAAGAGTTTCCAGAATTCTGTTGTGGTGCATGTTGTTTGTTTTCATATTAAAAGCATTGATGTTTTTTGTTTGCTTGTTTTGGAAATCTTTGGAAATAGATACTGCTTCCAAGGCTTTGATCAAGGTCATGTTGAAGTAGTGAAGCTAGCTAGAGATACACATTTCCAAATATTCAAAAGATGGAATATTTATGAGTTCAACATTTCAGTAGTTCAAATACAAGAGGGACTGAAACCTAGATGTTCTCTAAATGGGAAGCATGTCCCAGCCAGCAGATGGCCTGAAATATACGACAGGTAAGCATTGTACATTTACAATGTCATGTCCAAATGCACCTACTACTTGCACAGTGGCCCATTTGCATGTAGTGCTTCATGAGCCAGTTGAATGCTGCCTTGGACAATATTTACATGCATGCTGTTTTCGTAAGTCCCAACAAATGTGGTCAATATATTTCAGGGCTTTTTTTGTCGTAGAATGCACCAGTACAGCGTTTCGGCACCTTTTTTTGACGGATTTTTCCAATGGAGTGATTTTGAATTGCCTGCGGGCTGCTTGTGTGTGTGTCCACGCTGATTGTGAGGGCGCTGCTCCGCTTGGGATTGGTGTGTGTGGTTGCGCGCTGAGTGCTTACTGCCGGCGGCGATCATTATGTTTATGTGTGTGTAGAGTGACTGGCTATGTGCAAAAGGTAAATAAGTTCTTTATTTCAAAAAAAGTTGGTGAATAGAAAATCTTTTTTAGTGTAAAAGTGTTACTTCAAGACATGAGTTCCGGCACCTTTATTTATTTATTTTTGACAAAAAAAAAACACTGATATATTTAAAGTTGACTGAGCATACGTGGAAATCTCATGTAGCTAAGGGCTTTTCTTGGGCCTGTGCCTTGGATACATCAGGCCTGCGGGACTAGCAGCTCATATCTGGCATGGTTAGATATGAGTGGTTCACTTGGGGAGCACGTGAAACAAAATCCCCCCCCCCATTTACAATTGTTTGTTTTGTGGTTTTCTGACCTCTGTACAGCTACTTCTCCTTTCTGAAAGGTTGAAATGCCTCTCTTCTAAGGCTTGATGAGCGGCAGTAAGAGTTTTAATAGGTTATGAAGATACTTGTTAATGGGAATCCTTGTGTACTAGTATGATTCTTCTGCAACAAATAAGGCCAATGATGACTGCATTTTTCCATACCATTAGCTCACAGACTTTTCATTTACCCTGAACACAGTGTTAGCAAACTGATCTGGGCTGTTTTAAAAACTAAAAATACTAAATTAAGTATGCTTAATCCAATGTTTAACCCCAGTTTCTGCAGAACAACTGCCATATAGTGCACTTACTATGTGATAACTTCAGCAGCAAAATCAGCAGCATTTACAATATGAATGGATGGAAGCAGTGCACCGGCATTTGACACACACACATGTTCATTTACGTGCATGTGCGCTACAGAAGATGCATCTGTGTATCCTCCTAATGATACTCTGAATGTTTGAAAATCCGCCCTGCCACTGAAGAATGAATAATGCCCATAAAGGAACCACAGCCTGAGTTACAAGAGAAGGACTGTAAAATTCAGGGCATTTTGGAGGACATTCATTCAAAGGATTGCCGTAAGTCAGAGATGACTTTACAACAAGCAATGAGAACACTCCAGAATGAGAAATCATTTAGGGCACAATCCTCTGCACAGTTAGGCAGAGAAGAGGGGAAAGGCAGGATACAAATGTGATGCAACAACAGCAGCATGAACCAGGAAATCCCAGGAGAATACTGGGAGTTTAGAATTTATTTCTAGCTAACCTTGCACAGGATCACACCCTTACACCTTGCAGAAGAAAGCACAGCAGACCTGCTTGACCAAACCAGACTTACAGCACCTGTTTCTTGCTGCAGGTTGGCCTTTTCCCAGGCTTTGGCCCCTACAGGTTTGTAGAAAACTAAAAGCAAAGTACTGAAAGCATCACCATTTCAGAGGCCCATTTTTTAAAAGCAGCATCAACAAAATCTTTAACAGTATCCACACTTCTTTTTTTTAGGGGGGGAGGTTGCTTTCATGCTCCCTCTCTAATGCAAAATCTTTCTGCCGTCCACCTTAACATGCATGCTTATGGTGAAGAAGCATGTAAAACCACCCTCAATTCCATCATCTAGCCACCGCACCTCACAAGGTTGTTTGCTTAGTTAGTATTGCCTTTACAGTTTGCCTTCTCCCCTGCTTCCTGCGATGATCAAAACGTGGAAAGCCCCCTTGGCATGCTACAACAAAATTGCAGAGGCAAAGCGTAGTGTAAACAATGCGTGAAGCGCACGACACGCAAAGGCGACGCGAATGCCAGTCCGTCTGTATGCCCTGTCCCTTTAAGGGAGAGCAGGAAACCAGCCGAACACGAGGAAGCTGCTGCGCTTCCTAAGTAAACGTGATAACTGGGGAAACGGCCTCGGCTCTGTGTTAGGAGAGGAGGCGGCAGGGCCAAGACCAAAGGAGGCAGGCAGGGGGAGTCGAGCAAAGGCCGCCCCGTCGTCTCCCCCTCCGCTGCGGTGCACATGACGGCGCCCAAGCTCCAGACAGCCCTCTTTCCGCCTTGAGTGACAGCGGGCTGCAACGGGGCTGGGCGGCTTCAATTAGAGTCGATCCGAAGGATCGTGGCGGAGCGAGCCTGAGTGGGCCCTCAGGGCAGGGTGGGTCGCTGGCTCGCGAGGTCTTTCCCAAGCGACTGCTGGAAGCCAGGGTAGGGAAAGGTGGGGCTACTGTGCATGGGTCTGGTTGCCCTTTATGCCGTCTCCCTGGCCGAGCAGCGGCCCTCCTGGCCTCCCTTCTGTTGAATCATTTCATCAGCCCTGCCGAAAGCCTGCCATTAGGACATCCGTAGGCGCCGGATCTAGGGTCTTCTGCGACCACGCATGGGCTGCCCCCTGGGGCCCCAGACCCTCTTCCAGGGAACCTCTGCGGAGCCGCTGGTTCATAATGGTCTGTGACCATCGCAGACCTAAGCAGTTATATTTTCATTCATCAAGAGGGCAGCAATGCACCAGATTGAAAATCAAGACAAAAGTAACTCTTTATAACAACAACAACAACTGTCATAGTTGTTGAGTTCTTAACTCAGATCTGACTTCAGAGCAGACGGGAAAAGTTTAAGCCGGAGGTCCTTCTTACAAATCATGAAGAGCCATAGCACTGACTTCATAATGGGCATTTTAAAATTCAGAGACACACACTTTTCTCCGATGGCTTTTTTTAGGCACTCAAGCAGGCTAGAAGGGATGCCTGAGTTCCAGACGGGGAACTTCAAAAGAGACAGAGAAGGGAGACTGGCCAGACCGGTTTCTGCTTGCACTCTGCCAGTTTTCAGCATGCTAGATCAATGTGGTGGGAATGATTTAAGTTCAGTTCCTTGACCAAGCTCATTAGATTTGTTAGCACTGGATAAAAGTGCTGGGTGGTTTAGCTAAATAAGTGGGAAATTATGATGCCTTAAATCTCTGGAATGCTGGCTCAGTCCTGGTCCTTGTTAGTAATGCCTTAATAACCAATTGTGACTGACACTAATGGGCGCTTGCCCTGTACAAGGCTGAGGCTTCTTGCTATCAGATCTCTCTCTCTCTCTCTCCTTATACTTTGCCTATTGAATCCAGATAAATAATAGGCAGTAGGATGATCAAACTTCCACTTTTTCTAAACATATTATCACACAATAACGCTGCAACTTGTGGTTATGATAGCATTGCTATTTTCTTCTTCTAGGCCTCCTGTGCCTTCAAAAGCGGTGTGACAGGCATCACTTTGATTGACAGTTTTCCCCTCTGTGCATTTTCTCCAAAAAGTTTGCATGTTGAATGCCTTCCTATTGAACAGCAGATAAAATGAAATGGTAATGTAATAGGTAATGAAAAGTTAATGCAATATTCTTTAAACCTCTGTGTGCTGTTCTTAAAATGCTGCAATGTACATTTTTCAGCTCTCTTGTTTGTGTCCTTCCGGCAGTACTTAAGATTTTTAAAGTGGAACGTCCTGATCGTGAACAATTTACTTTGATGTAAGCTGTATTATGGCTGATAGCTTTGGGAGTATATCATTAGGTTAATTAGGCTATAATCCTATGCAAACTGAAATGAGAGTAAATCCCACTGAAATAAATAAGATTTACATCTGAGTAGTCATGCACTGGATTGCACTGCATGTCTCTCTTAATATTTATGGGCTGTTCAACTGAGAAACTTTCTAGGTTTACTTTTTTCAGCTTAATCTACCTGAGAATACACTAATAAAACATTGTGTATGGTGCCTTGTCCTCCTTGAAGTAAGGGAAGAATAGAAATGTGATAAATAAAATATATGAATATGTCAGACGATAGAGTGGACCTAGAAATGTGTAGAAGCACATTCTTGTGAAATTCAATAATGGGCTCAGTATTGTCTCCTATCAGGTTTGAAAATCTTAAAAGCAAGCTACCTCATTATAATGATATTGTAGTTGTATGTTGATAGCAGTTCCATCTGTGTGTATCTTTGGTTCTGTCAGACTTCATATACCTCCCTTTTAAAAATGGTTCATACAGGATGGATTTAAACTAAAGTCATTAAATTCACAACAGTACATTCTGCTCTTAATGAAACAATACAACAGCAATGGGGTTGAAGGAAGGAGGGAGCAAATTGCTTTCTTGTAGCAAGGACTTCAACAGTGATGGATCCACTACTGAAAATGGCCTGTCTCTTTAGCCTGCCATCCTGATAGATCTTAGCTGGTGGGCTAGAGGATCTCAATGGCTCATATTTATAGACAGACAGGCTCATTAAGATGCAGGCAGTTCTTCAAAGAAGCTGCTCCCGAGCTATTTATTATTATTGCACTATAATTATATCTGCCTTTTCCCCTCTTATGAAGAACCCAAGCAAACTTACATAGTCTTCCACTCCATTTTGTCTTCACAACAAGAAGCCTGTAAAGTAGGTTAGGCTGAGAGTGAGTGGCTGGTCCAAAGACACCCAGTGAAGTAGAAGTGCAGTCTAGAAGTATAGCCTGAAGCACCTGATCCTGCCTAAACTTGGAAGCTAAGCAGGGTTGGGCCTGCTTGAAATTTGGATGGGTGAGCTAAAGTGTTGCTCAGAGAGCTCCCAGTATGGGTGGTATAGAAATGTAATCTAATAATAATATTAATAACAGAACTCAGTCTCCTTGGTACCCAGGCCAACAGTATAACCATCATGCCACATAGGCTCTCACCTGTACAGGTACCAGAACTTTGAGGTGGGCCTGGCAATCATGTCAGCCACAGTCCTGGGGTTATGCAGCCAATCTTCTTACCACAAAGCAAGTAAACAGCTGCACTCTGCAGCAGGCGAAGCTTCCAGCTGTCTTCCAGAGTGGCCCCAAGTGCACTGCAGTAGTGTAGTTTATATCCTCCAGATATGGGAGGCAGGTGGCAAATGCTAAAAATGATAAAAGGTGTTCTGGCCTTGTTGTTCAAAAGCATAAGGGACAAGATGACATCCCATAAGCCACAGGTCTTGTAATAGAACAGGAGTCTCCCAACTCCAGCACCTGGATGCTTTCCTCCAGGATTGACTGGAGCCCCTGTAATACCATGCCTTTAGGTCCTACTCACCCTGGCCAGACAGCCTTAGCAGGATGCCATAGCAGATGATGTTGGAGGTTGTTGAGAGCTCCTGGGAAACTAACAAGGTAGCACTCACCCCACTAGAGTGACTCAGGCTGTTTCTGCTCCACAACCATATCAGAAACCACACTGAAACCATTTGATTTAAAATAAATGTCCTTGTTTTTCATTGGCTTAAGTGCAATTTTGGGCCTGTAAGAAATAGTGCAGGAAGTGTTAAAAAACTATTCATCAGTGTTATGCTTTGTCTTCCCAAGCACGTTTGAGTCCCTGATCTTGAAACTGCTGTTTTGCTTAATTGGAGTCTTTGGCTTTAAATACGTTGATCCTCCTGCACAGTTAGTTCATTAGTCTGCAGTGTCCTGACAACTATTTATTGTTGCTTGTATGTGCTTTTCACCAGGTAACCTCAAGATGGAAACAAATATGCCTACAGCAATGTGTTTTCTACACTAAAATTGCCAGGCAGTTCTTTACGTGCCTTATCCTTTTTGTTGGGGGACAGCAAGATGTATCTTCTTTAAGCTTGTCCTGATATTATCTAAACTTAGAGGAATGTGGGCCAACAAATATATATATCGATTCCCAAGGCAATGGATTTATTTCAGGCACACTGGACTACACAGTACTCTGTTCCTTAAAATCCAGAAGTTTGGGAAAGATTCTGATCATTGTTGTATTTTACAAGCTTTCCGTGTTTTTTCCACAGACAGGGTGAGTATTCATCTACTTCTGAACTGCTATAGTTGTGCTTACAAACTTTTCTTCAGATGAAATGGAATACTCATTTAATTTAGAATGGGAGCAAGTACAGTTCCACCAATTCCAAGGGCCATGTTCAGTTTATTGATTTACTCTTAAGGTTTAGTACTGATGCATCAATTTGCATAAATGAGGCCTGAGTATATGTATTTTTTAAGGTACTATCCAAGGAATCTCCCTTTCATTTATTTGAATCTTGTCATATATGTGAAAATGTAATTTTGTAGAGGATGAACAATAAGAACATTTGTTGTGAAAAAATGAGTAGGTTTGGTGCCTTGGAGATCTAGAACTATGGAGTAGTAGAAGAATATAAAGCAGTTGATTCTTGCTGGCAGGAAACAAACACAGTCATCCTAAGTATACAAATGAGTATATGTAGGATTGTAGACTAAGACTAGCAGAGAAGGGGAAAGCAGTAGGAAGACAGCCAAAGATTTGGATAATTTTATTTAACATTGAAATAGAGTTTTTTATTGTGTGACAATAGTGACAATACTTTCAGCCTATGAGCTTGGTTCTACTTGCTTGGAAAAAGTGCCCATTGACATTAATTGAATTTCTTTCCACTCAATGCCCATGCCTGGAACTGGCTTTGCTGGATGAAAGCATGTGCCACATCTGTATCATACTGAGCAGAAACTAGAACTAACGAACTGTTTGTGCAACTAATGCAACATGTTACAATCTTGGAAACATTGTTTCTTCAGATTAAATCCTTGTTTTCTAGTACGAGCACACTGTAAAAAACCACAAGGACATATATCTTGCAATTATTGGGTGAAGAGTGTTTCCTTACTTAGCAGTGAAAGAAAGCTGACAATTTCCTTGCACTTCAGATTTTTTTAATAACACTGAAAGCAAAAAACGTGGCATTCTTTGTGGTTTTTATTATTTTGCTTTTGTAATTCAAAGACGCTAACTTTCTAATTGCATGTGCAGATCTCTCAAGTTCAGAATGAAAGGCTGATAATGGATATGGCAACATGTGCCAATGGCAAAGGAGGCAGTATTGTCGATGACAAAGCATTCAAGGAACCTCATGGTGGAAGACAGCATGAGATGGAAGGTATTCAGGAGCGTTATTCTCTTAGAACGCCAGTTGCCTTTAAACAGTAAGTGGGGAATCCTATGTCTGGTTAGACAGAAAGATGGCCCATAATTCCCAACAGGTTTTACCCAGTTGTACTGTCTAAACGTGCATAGGACTGCATCTTAAGCTACTTACACACACACACACACACACACACACACACACACACACACACACACACACAGATCTCTCCTTAAATGGAGAGCTAAATAGATCAGGCAACTACATTTTTCAATATTTATTTATTTAGTTAGTTAGTTAGTTAGTTAGTTAGTAAACTTCTATGCCGCCCCATTCGCCGAAGCCTCGGGGCAGCTTACAACAATAAATAAAACATATAATCATATAAAAACAATATAATTGGAAACACCCTGACCAAAGATATAAAATCAATAAATAAGCTAACAATTAAAATGCCGTTTAAATAAAAAGATATATGCATGTTCTCTTCCAACCAGGAGAGTTTATTCTTAACTGTGGTTAGTGAAAACAAGACAGTGTCAAAAACTAGGGTAGAAGTTGACCACGTTTCAGTAATCATCATTAATATTAACCGTAGATTGTCCAGGCTTGGATGCCACAACAAACTGCGATTAGTCAAAGGCAAGTGAAAGCTTCTGGACTCTTCTTTGTGGCTGTAGATACAGAGGATATGGCTGCAGGGGTGGGAAGCTGGTTGTGTACAAGCATAATATAAGCTAGAGACATCACATTCAATTTGATGTGAATGTAGCCAGTACTTAGACCTTTGTCAACAAGTATAAACTAACTGGGAATATGTATGCTAATGTATTTGCTAAAGATAAAATGTCAGTATTACAGAGACCATCCAATATTTGGTAAATGTTTATTATCTTGTACTTCTTCTTTTGAATACTCAGTTACATTTCCAGTTTTCAAAGACATAACCCAAATAATGCTACATAACACTTAGATGTCTGTCAATACTGAGGCTTTTGGAGATGCATAGCAATTCACTCATTAAAGTTTTGTTTGATTATTAAGAATGCATACAAATAGTAGCCAAATTTCAAGCAACACTGTAGCATAGTGATTAATAATTCTAAAAACTGTATTCCTAAGCTTTGCAGAAGCTGTATTCCTAATGCTATGCAGGAATATTCCTTAGCATACTCATTGAGTTAAAGTTTATAGTTGGGCTGAAATTCTGTTCCTGACCCAAGGACGAAACTGCTCAACACAGAAATACAAATTTAATACTTAAAATGTAATTGAGTAAGCACATGCTCAGGGTTCTATTTCTATTGATGTAAGCAATGGTGTACTAACATGCAAACTTATCTGGAACTAGATCAATTGAACATGGTCAGGTGCAAGTAAATATGAATAGAATTAAGTTAAAGTTAGTAAAACCTAGATAGCATGGCACAGATGCACATTTCTGTAAGTTATGAAAAGTATATAGAAAAAATAATTATGGATCAGAAAGAAGCCAAATATTATCTAGTTCTGCTATATATGGCCAACTTCTAGCCACTCTCCTTTTTCTACTGTGGTGGACTTCCTTCTGGCGCTACCTGCCAATAACTGCATCACCATAATGCAGCTATAAATTGAAGTAACCAGAATAGACTTAGAGAAAGAAGCATGAGCATCTAATGCAGCCTCTGATTAATTTACAGTGTACAATGTAATTGAATAAAAAACTGTTCAGGACAGTTCACTATCCAGCCCCAATTTAAATTCTCTCAGGGTCATTGACTCCTGAGGTAATGACCTCCTTGACATGACACAGCAACCCACCATGGGTAGTGAGTTATGGTTGGTTGTTCTGTTATCCAACTCCATACCACTTTCTTCAGGATGCTTGCATTTCTCCAACAAGCCACTCTGAAAACTCATGGACTGTTTCCGGGCAACACAATACCCATACTTAGGTCTTGAGTATCAGTTGAGTGTGAGTTTGAACTATGGATTGTTTAAATGTGGTGTTTGACCTGGGCCACATTAACAAGTTATGGTTTGATAAACGTGACCAAGCCTTGAAGAGAACCCATGATATTCATTGTTTGTTTGCAGCTAACAAACCAGGGTTTGTTAGTGTGACCGGGTACAAGCAACATGATAACCCATGTTCAAACAACAACCCATGGTTCAATGATAGCCTACACTCACCTTATATGCAATGGGTTATCATCTTGTGTGAACCCAGCATAGGATTTGTTTGGCATCTTGTCAGACTAGCACAACTTTCCCCACTATGAGTTGTGGGCAACAGTGAGCAAGCTGTTTGGCAAAGGTAACAAAAATAGCTTGCTGCTCTTGGTGAGCATGTCTGAACCATAATCAATTCCAGTTAACCCACCAGTTCCAAGGCAGCATGGTGGGCAACCATGAGTAGCTCACTGCAGGCCTGAGCCAAGATGAAGAGATGTTTTGGCTTGCTGTGCCCTTTCATCCCATTTCCCCCCTTTCCTTTCCTTTCTTTCTTTCTAGACCACTTTTTGTAAATGATAGCCATTTTCAAACAGCTTTTACTGTTACTCCGTTTCAGCTAGTGAAGTAAAATCCTCAGATACTCTTCTTCCTTCCTTTTACTGTTACGAATTATGTCATAGGTTTAAGCAAAATTCACTTCCCTGCAATTTCTGCCCACAGGGTCTGGTATGTACTCCATCTTCTGCATTACAGACCTTTAGATAGTCAAAGACAGCTCTCCTATATCCCATTGTTCTTGTATCCCTTACCTTTTTCTACTATAGCTGCTAGGACTTCATTTTCATTCTTGCTCCCAGCTCTAAGTATGCCGAGTAAATAGACACAGTAGCCTACATGTCTAGTGCAGAGTAGACCTACTACTTCTCATTATTTCTCAATGTTGCTGTTAATACACCCTAAAATAGCACTTGCTTTGTTAGCAGCAGCATCACATTGCTTGCTCGCATTCATCCTGTGTGCCACTAAGACACTAGATCCTTTGTATGCATACTGCCACTAAGGCAGATCTGCCCCATTCTCTGGGCCTTTGCTCAGGGCCTCTTTTTGAACCTAAATTGACTATTCTTGCTGAAATTTAACCTCCTTGATTTCAGCCTAGTGCTATAACCTGTTCAGATGTTTTGGTTCTTGGTTTTGGTTCGTGGTGTTCTGACATGGTAGCACATTCATTCATCTTAGCAATGGCTTTAGCAGTATGCCAGTCTAGGACTGTGAATCTAAAAATGCCATGTATGAATTGAACTTTGTTGATAGAACAGTTTTCGAAGTAAAAACATTGCCTTTATGTAACTTACTAACTAGGATCTGATTATTTAACTTGCTTATAAGTAATTCCATTTATCTTTTTATTGAATAATAGACTACAGTCTTAAGTGTTGAATACATGAAGTTTTAATTCTTTCCTGTAGTATTTCTGCTGTCTTTCTTTTTAAAAGATGGGGCTTTCTGGGACTCTCTTCAGACTTGTTTCATTCCCAGTTCCCTACAGCACCCTGACTACATAAAAGATTCATATTCTTCAATTACTTATCTCTTACATATTGCTTTACTTGCTTGTTACATAGTTAATTTGGTCTGCAGTCTGTCTCCTTTCTCAAAAGGAATTGGTAATTTATAATTTGGTGGGTAGATTTTTGCGTTGACGTAATATGCTTCTGTTAAATCTGAATAGATAGATAGCTGCTAAATCAGTGAAATGGCTGCCTTGAGTGCCAGTTTTTGGTAGAAATGTGGCATGGGAATGAATGAATGCATGAGCTAGCTGCTGTCTGCTAATCTTCTGGCCTCTACGGTTCCAGACAGACATAGGTAGGGAGAATGATTTAAGCCAAACTTAGTATTCTCATTTTCTTAGTATGCCTAACGAATTGCAGTTCCTCAACCAACAGTGGATGCGTCACTAAAGCCACCGTGGACAATGGATGGGACAGGACATACAACTTGAAGTCCGCATGTCATGGATCTATAACATTTCATCCCACAGGGGGACTCAATGAGTGCTTTTTGCTGCCCCCTGATACTGGAGAGTTGTGATGGAGTTCAACAAGCCTAAAATAATCTTGTTTACTGTGTCTCGACTATTAATCTTGAAAACATAATAGCATCCAATATTATTAGTTTTGCATTTATTTTATGCTATTTTTGAAGTTAAAACCTACAGAAAAAGAAGACAGTGAAATAAGTGGATTACATGAGGAAAATTATACATTTTTAAAAGGCGTATTATTCTAGTGGATTTGGTAAAGCAAGCAGCAGGCTTAGCTACAGGAAATATAATGATATACTTAATTAGATTTACGTGTCTTTTGAAGACATTTTCAGAGCTAATAGTATAGGAGGGAGAACCATATGCTATTTCATCCCCCTCCCCTGTTGCAGTTTATCTCTTTTGTCTTAATTCCAGTTTCTTTGTGTTTCCTTGCTGGTAAATTAAACTCAAATGAATTAGAACAGTAATATTAACCCACTGTTCTATTTAACACATTTTTAAAGTTCTGTATGCAAAATTAACAGAGAACATAATGCAAATATAGAAATAATCTGAAAGAATGTGTTGAAAGATGTTTCTGGTACTTTTTACAGACTTAACAGGAGGTTTCATATATATTTCTGACTAAATCAATGCCCGTTCTGTTATTTGGGTTTATTTTATTTAAATCTTTTTGTAACCATCCATCTCATACTGTATTCTTCTTACATATTTTTGCTGAACTATTGTGTTTTATGTAGTCTAACTTGAGGTGGAAAGTACACACTTTGACCACCTGGAAACTACAGACCTTCTCTTATCCTGGTAATAGGTATGAATGTGTAATGCACAATATAATGTCATTACATGTGAGTTTCCATACCACGTAATTGGCTGCCTCATGCAGGGATGGGAAGAAGTGTAATGTAATGATGGCTCATGGATATTGTGTTGTAAATATTACTTGAGGTGTGGGACTGCCCTCCCTTGATTTGCACAATCTCTGTTTTCAGACTTTATTTGCCATGGTCTGATTAATGTTGTCTTTTCTGATGCAGACTGTAATGTGTGCCTTCCCCCACTAAATTTAAATAAATATTCAAAATAATGTTGCCCCAGATTCCTAGGTAGCGTTTCTGAATAAAATGAAATATGTAAATACAGTAAGCTTTCCAGAGACTTTCAGCACAATCCACACAAGTAGGTCCTAATGTTTCCATTGGTGCTTAGGCCTATGAAATGGTATTGGATTACAGGTCTATAGTACAATCATATCCATTGGACATGATGAGTTCAGTGGGGCTCAATTCCATGGAAGCATGTTGCCTCCTGTTTAGTACTAAGTTCCATTGAACGCCACAGAACGTACTTCTGAATAGACATGCATAGGATTACACTGCAAGGCAACATTTTGGTAGTAGCTTGGAAGTGTAAGCATTTTAATGAGTGTCATCACTTCTAAAAGCCTTGGGAAATTACTGAAAGTACTGGGTATTTTTAGAACAATGTCTATTTGAAGAAGAGGCTAGATTGTGAGAGATTTAATTTTACATTGGATTAAAATTCACTTTGATAGTACTTTTGTATAGAAGAAACTAAAATTTTGGTTAGCAAAACTCAAATTATGCAACATTTTGTTGATTTATATTTTGAAGAATGTCAGACTTAATAATTGAATTTGTTTTAGGAATCTGAGGTGGCTTGTCACATTAAAAGTTGACTGTGTGCTGATTATTCTAGGTTTAAGTTAAGAATCAGACTGAGGTGTTTGAAGGGGCCAGGGATCTTAAATAATCCATGCTAAACTTCTTTCCACAGCAAAAATGAAACATCTCAACTTGTCATTTGCAGCCTGTGGGTTTCTGGGGATATACCACTTGGGGGCAGCATCTGCTCTGTACAGACATGGTAAGAAGGTATTGAAGGTTGTGAAGGCTTTTGCAGGAGCTTCTGCAGGATCTTTGATTGCCACTGTTCTTTTAACAGTGCCAGAAAATATAGAGGTAATTGGAAAAAGAAAATCTACTTTTGAAAAGATACTTTAAGCCTACTCATTTTAAGTTTTATCAACTCAAACTGTAACAACAGGACCTTTTGGTAACATATTCCAAACAAAACGTTTGATTGTAACCATGGAGTTTTAGAAAGCATTCTTTGTGTTTATGCTATTTCTGTTGCTTATCTGGTATATTAAAAGAGCATACAGAACGAAATGGACAATGTTGGTGAAAAGTTTTTTCTTGACATTGATACAATGGCTTCTATAATTTTATTCAAGCACTTTTAATAGCATGTACCTAGGAGTATGTGTTTTTGAAGATTTGTTATGTGGTTAAGAAGGAGAATTTGAGGATAGGTATATAATAAATTCTGTCAATCCAGTCTTTTAAAATATTTACTATAAAAGCATTATATGTCAACCCAAAGCTAAGATAGGCTGCTAGTCATAGCAAGTATAATAGGAAATTGGCAGCATTCTGTCACTAAGAAATGAAAAGAGTATCATGCAATTTGTTATTATCAACTTCATCGATTTGTATCTGATAAAACTAAGAAACCAAATAATCTGTGGGAAAAACCTGGTGGCATGAATGCTATTACTGCATTGTCTTGCATATCTGTGGAAACCAGCAGTGAATGGTGAGGTGTTTTCCCTGGCAAAATATTTCTATGACTACACAGTTCAAGACAAATGCTTCTTTCTTTAAAATGTTATGTAATAATGTAGGGTTTTTCCCTTTCCCTTTCAGTTGCTTCAATACTGCTATTGTTTTTCACTGAACCTGAACAGCAAAATATTATATCTGATCAGAATTTATCTATTGATCTTGTCATTTGACCAAATAATAAGAATAAATAAAGTCTTATAACCCTTGTTTCCCTGTACCATATTTTCCCCTCATCACTACTGCCAGTTGACTTAGTCAAAGCACTGGTGAGATCACCACTGTTTAAAGAATTTTCTCTTAAATTTCCACTACCATGGGTAAAGCCCATATGTTCTCTGCAGCTGTTTAAACTCATGTTTGCATTTTTATCACCATTCATCTTAGCAGATTGCATCTAGTTTCTAGCATTAAAAATAACTGAAAGTGGTCAACTACAGTTTTCAGAGCTTTAAATCTGCCTGATTATTTCGCTAGAGTCAAAGATTTTTGTTTTCTTGTGAAGATGGTTTCTGTTTGTTTGCTGTTTGCATTAGGTAGAATTTAATTACAGTATATTTCAGTAAAATTAGAGATGTTTTGTTAAATGAAAATAACATTAGTATCTTTTAAGAATACTCCTATAATGGAAGTCCTAAATGTATGAGATTCAAAGATAATGCTAAAAATTGGCTGGCTATTTCTAGTTGGTGTATTTATTTGGTGAACAAGAGAAGGATGAGAACTAAGTTTTGTAGAGTTTATAAGAACTAGATAGATGAGGTATTACCCGCATTTGGACACTGCAATTAACCATGGTTTCTCATGATGGGAAAGAACTGAGCCTCCATTAGGGCCTTTCTCATCTCCTCTCGCGTTTTCTGACACAGCTGTGAAGAGGATTGCAGGAACTTCTGCGTTCAGTTTTGGTTAACTGAAGTTTGTCATGTCGTCTTAACCTGGAGGAGCAGGAAGGCACAAACTTGCTTGGAGGTTAAGATGGTTCCTGTCATGATAAGCTGTGGCAGGAGTAGGCAACCTGGGGCCTTCAGATGTTTTTGAGCATAACTCCCCTAAGCTCCAGCTGGCATGACGAATGGCCAGTTATGTGGATTGTACATGGGAGATGCTGTTTTACCTATCCCTGAACTATGGCTTACTGTGGCATCAGCCACTGTGGGAATCTTGCTCTTTTTTAAGCTATGGTTAAGATGAGCCTGAATTCTGTTTTGTTTATCCGTAATGATAGCACAGCAGAAGTTGTTTTGCAGGTAGCCATCCTGATGCATAGGGCTTCCCCTTATCCTTCATGAACGGGAACACATTTGTGTGCATAATAAAGAGATGTGTCATCACTGTAAAGGGATGTGATGCACATTTATATAGTTTTGAAGATTCCTCTTTTTTCAGGCAGGCTCAAAGACCACTTAAACCTATTTAACGTATTCATATTAAGTGTTTATCGAACTCTGATAAATCTGTATTTTCATACATAAGTATAAAGCAGTAATTATGGAAAAAACATTTTTCAGGAATGTACAAAAATCACCTACGAATTTGCGGAAGAGACTAGGAAACTATATTTTGGTGCATTGACACCAGGCTATGACTTCATGACAAAACTTAGGTAGGCATTTTCACAAATATACTTTTCAAATTGGTTTCATACAGAACCTTATGGAATGCTATTGAAGAGATTCTGTGTAGATGGCTTGTTCTTGTAGCAAGTGTGGGGAAACAGAGCATTATTTTCTTCCTAAATTATTTAGAAGGTATTTAATTATTAAGCCTGACTAATGTTTATCATTCTATTTTTTTTCTTTCCTGTAGGGGATGCATTGATTTGATTCTCCCTTCTAATGCTCATGAGATAGCAGAAAATCGCCTCTTTGTATCAGTCACTAGCACTAAAAATGGAAAAAATCATTTGCTTTCAAATTTTGCCTCCAGGGAGGATCTTGTAAAGGTAGGAGAGTTGCGTATTGCTTTTATAGATGAAATGCATGACTGTCTCCAGGGCTTGTGTGCTTGGATTTTATTAACAATGGCCTGAGAATTCTTCATTTTATTCATTTGAGTAACTTCATGGCTTTTAGAAGTATTGCTGACATGCTTAAAGTAAGAGTGATGTGACCTAATATTTCCACAAGTTTTAGCAACTGGCCTTTGTTTGTTCATGAAAAAAGCTAATAACCCATTGATGATCTGTGCATGTGTCTGGGAGAGAGAGAGAGAGTGCTCCATGCTAGGAGTTTAAGGGCTTCTTTATGTCTAAACATGCTTAGAATTATGCATTAGGTAAGTAACAGTTTTTATCTCAACCACAATGATAGGTGGAATCCAAGACAGAACTTGAAAAGACAGGAACACAGAAAGTCACCTTATGTTGAGTGAGACCATTGGTGCATCCAGCCCAGCATTACTGATGTCACCTGGCAGTGGTTCTCCAGGGTTTCTCCACAGGAGCCCTTCTTAGTCTTAAGGAGAGATTGAAAAGATTGATCCAAAGATTTTCTGCATGCGAAGCACATGCTCTGTCGCCATGCCAAAGCCCCCCCCCCTTCTGTTTTGAATGAAATGAAGAGAAGAGTTGGAAGAGAATGTCAGCCTGGTCTTTTGTACAGAAATAGACTTCTGCACAGCAAACCACTGCAGAGCTTCATCCACATCATAATGGTCATCCAGAGCTGACTGCACAAATACTTTTTGCAGATGGAAATGTAAACTAAAGCAGCATGTTGTGTATGAATAGAGCTAGTTGGAGGACTATATTTATAATCTCAAGCAAGTTCCTAATGATTTGCATAGAGTGATAGCTTCTTTGTTTCCCCAGCATTTATGTAAATCCTGACAGTAGTAGTTAGCAGAGGAAATACTGATGGTGAGTAGAGATCAGGTACTTTGTTATAGCATTGCATTGCTGTGAGATTCTGGGAGAAGGCTAGGCCAGGGCTGAGAGGTGAAGTTCAGTGTCCCTCAAATCCTCATCTAGTATTTTAATTCTCCTTTTAAATTTTATTCACTCCATTGATGAGATTTTGAACATTGAAGTGGTGTTGCTTTCTTAGTTCTTGAAGATATAAATTTAAAAGCATAGTTCTCCACCAAAATCTATTGCTTTAGATAATAAGCTGTAGTATGTGTTTGCTACAAGTAACCTGGTTACTTTTTGTTCATAGAAAGTGTGCTGTGGTCCAGAACAAAGAGAATCAGGGAAACATTCAAGAGAACATCTTTAAAGCATTACAAAGTGTACTAGTGTTTTCAAGTACATTCAGTTCATTTCCCAGAACTGTTTCTATCCAAGCTGGAAATTTTAAGATCCACTATGTAACTTGAAGGATTGGTGCCTGAGTTCTTTTTCTTCCTCCTTTCCTATCTCCTTTTGCTTTTGTGTCTTGTACCTTATGTTATAAGTTTGCTTGTGAGGAGGGACTACTGTTTATTATAGGTTTTTATTGATTTATATAAGCTGCTCTGAAATCTTGTAATAGAGCTGGGTAAATACTATACATAACTAAAACAAATTAAACTTACTTAGTCCAGGCATAATTCTGGTGAGACACCACTGTACAAACTCATTTTTTCAATTTGTAGAGACCCAAATTTTGCATAAATCTGAAATTAACTGTCAGAAAATTCAAGATAGTCACACTGAAGCATGTGCATATGCAGTAAGAGGAAGATGCTTTCATATTCCTCATATTGTATGCTACAACAAGAACAGCAATTTGAGTTGGCCCTTACTTGTGCAGCTTTTGCTAGAGACAGACAGTTCTTGGCTCCAATACCTCCTTGTGCAGGTATTTTATGTAATTTCCAGAAGCTGAATGCATACCTATACCTCACTGAGCCACTTTTGGCTGTTTGGCTTAAGTGGAACAAGTTTCCAAGGGTCATATATCCCTAGCTGCAAGAAGAAGTACGGAAACACACTTCTATCTTAGTTGAACTGCAGCTTGACCTGTTACTTGAACCCAATATACTGTGATTAATCTTACATATATATTGCTGAAATAATCCCGTTTCTTATGTTTCTTGTTCTAAGAAACCATAGTTAAGCTTAACCACATTTTAAGATTCGGATGTAATGATAGTTGGTTGTTAATTTTAAAAAGAAGCAGAAGCCTGTCATCTCTTCATGAGCTCATCAGAGAAGGAGAGGAAAAGGAAACACATAAGCCTAAGCTTGCCTCTGTTATAGTAAATCATGGTTTAGTACTACATGTGGCTCTTCCTATTTTTGGCCACTGGAAATAAATAAGGAATATAAACTAAAACATGGATTGCAATAGTATTATGATTTGATATTTAATAAGGATTAATCTAGGCAAAAAGGCACTTTTAATACTTCAAAATATTTATGTTATTTGTTTTTTTCCTTTTTGCTCAGGCCCTGCTTGCAAGCAGTTTCATTCCTCTGTATGCTGGATTCAGTGCTGTGGATTATAAAGGACAGGTCTGTGTGGCTGAACTTTGTATATATTATAGATGTTAACAGTTTCATGTATACAGTGAAAGTTACAATCCTAGTCATGCTGATCAGATACAGCAGAAACAATCTCTACAACTTGAAGGCAAGATGGTGGCCTCTAAAACCCAGTTCCTTATGGTTGTGCTTCAAGAGTTGCTGTTGTAACACCGGCAGCAATCATATCAGGTTCCTGGATCCTGTGGTTAACATCCTACGAGCATCTTGCTTCTAGTGGTACCTGATGCTGGTCATCATCTGCATGACCCATGTGATATTATTGATATTTCTGCATGCTTCAATGGGATATTAGTCATGGAAAAAAGAGTATTTCCTTCTTTACTGCCAAACCACAGATATAACATGGGAACTGGAACATATAGAAAAGAAAATTGCAGTAGGATAAATTTGTCATATTGTGATGCTGCAGAAGTAATAAAAGCTATATCTGCCAAACATCCTTCTGTGCAGCTATTAAAGATACAGGAACTTTGTCCTCTGCTACATAGGATCACCCTAATTGAAAGCAGCCATGCTCTAAGGCTAAGACCATATGTTTTACTCTGGGTAGAGCAAGTGCCATTGGTCTGATTCACACACAATGATGGTTCAGATATTTTTTTTAACCCTGGATTGCTGTGAATGATCCAGCCTACTGGTTCACATGGCTTGATTTATGCCCACTGCCAGTAGTAGATACACTAAAAAACCCTGGGTTATTTAGGGTAATGTCCAAGAATGGACCTTTGGTTCGCCTCTTCTAACAAGAGAGAATTCATTCCCAGAGTTAAACTTTGTTGAAGAGAGACAACCAGTAGCCCAGGTTTTGATGTCCATCTTAACAACTCTGGGCTGGAATGCCTCTGCATTCCGAAGCCAGCTGGGAACAATTGAGTCAGGTGAGGTAGCCTAATACTTAACACAGGATTTAAGAAGAACCTGGTTTTTGGATATGCTCAAATTGGGGCATTGACCCCTTTGTATCTAATATGGCACAAAGAACCATGTGAGATTACATACATGGTTCAAGGCAGCACTCTTTACAGATGCTTGTTTGTTTGTTGTATGAAGGGTTAGGATTAGGACGTCACTGTTTTTCCCTCTTTGCCTTTGGTGGGATTTCTCTTTGGCTTCAAGAGATCTCTTTCCAGCTCTACACTAACCAACAGATACAGCTTTTCAGTACAAAAAACTCCTATGAACTGGACTTCTTTTACAATAAGCACAGGCAGTTCTGGGTCCTTATGCAACTTCACGGCCTAGAAGAAGAGTACAAACTTACTCATTCCCCCATCTGATTATGCTTCCTGTGGTTCCTGCAGCAATGCATGGTACTCTGAAATGCATGAGCCTATAGTTACATAAATTTAGATATTGGAATTAACTTGTCGATGTATATGCCATTAAGTTTAGCCTTCATATTTGATGTGATGCATTTTAGGAGGATTTTAGTGACACACTATTTTGCAATATCACTTTTACTTGTAATATATATGTGAATTACTAGAAATAATGTTCGCAATGTTTGCAACAGGCTCTGAATTGTTAAGAAATATGCTTGACAATAAGGGAAGAAAGTGTGGTAAATGTTTTCTTGGAAGGAAAAATGCTGTCCCACTGAGCTTAACTATGTTTGCTGCTTCAACCACAGTTGAGGAGTGGTGGAGGGTTCCAAGCACCAAAGCTCATTTGTTGTTGGGGATGCTAGATACATCCTCAGTGTCTGGCTCATTTACCTCTTTGGTTCTGCCACAATAGTCCAGGCTTTGGTCCCATAAAACCAAAAGAAGAACCATGTCAAATCAGACTAAGGGTCTATCTAGTCCAGCATGCTGTTCACACTGCGGCCAGTGTCAGGATAGAGGATGTGTTTTCACATTCCAGTCACAGCTGGTGACAGATTTTAAGAACTGAGCAACACAAGACAAATCCCGCTGGATCAGACCAAGGGGCCATCTAGTTCGGCATCCTGTTCACCAGTAACCAACCAGCTGCCCATGGGAGACCTACAGATAGGATATAATGGCATTAGCACCCTCCTGCTCCTGTTCCTCAGCAAGGGGGAAATTCTGCTTCTGAAACTGGGGGAATCTGAAACCTTCATGACTAAGTAGCCTTATCCTCAGTCAGTTTGTCTAATCCCCTTTTACAGGCACTGAACTGGGTGGACATCACTACATCTTGTGGTGGTGAATGCTATAGCTTGACTTCCTGTGTGAAGAAGTGCTTCCTTTTGACTGTCTTGAATCTCACACCAATCAGCTTTATAGGATAATCAGGTTCTAGTACCATAAAAAACAGACCATCTCATCATCTGGATTTAGATGTTTAAACCTAATCAGCTCTTTTCACAATCCTTTCTTGAAATACTGCCTTTGACTGTATAGATGCCAAGAAGCAGCAGGTCTTAAACAAGAACAGGGGGCCTTTGGATGTTTTCTGACGTTTGGAAGCAATCTGACATATTTTTTTTAACTTGCATTGCAAGATAGTTTGCTAGTCTTCACATTATTAACTGAAATTGTGCACTGTTGCTTATCTTGTGTACCAATTGAGGATATTAATTGATGTTCAGATTCAAAATTTTTTTAAAGCAATATAGATAGAACCACCTCTGAACTTCAGGCTCTGGTTTGGATCTGTTCATCAGTCCAAATTCCCCATCCAGGAATTCAGTTATCTTACTGAACTCATTATGCTTTATTGACCCCAAGATGGACTGCTGGCAACCAACTCATAAAGCTTCTGTCCCACTCTGATAGACTCCAATGAATCATACATATCTTGTAACATTCTACAGACAATATAATTTGAGGGGCATCTTCAGTGCTGAGAGAATAAAGAAGGTGATAGGATCAGTCAAGAAATCCGGGAAGTCTAGACTAAGGATGTCTTGTTGTATTCTGTGAACTGTCTAAAGAGCTTTGGCCACTGGTCAGTATATCAATGCAGTAAGTTAATAAATAATGAGAACTAAATGTTTTATGACATACTTTACAGAAAGAAACTGTTGAAATTGTTGCAAAAGACTGTCTCTCATTAGTATCCCAAAAGGGGATGTTGAGGCATCATAACAAGAAATTGCACACCAAGATAGTTTTGAATAAACTATTAAGCATATATGCTCACTAGGATAGCAACTTTACAAAGGCTGGACAAAAAAGCAGCTTCAATATTGACAACACGTTATCATGTTCTTCTTTTTCTTTCTTCTCCTTCCTTCCTCCTCCTCCTCCTCCTCCTCCTCCTCTTAGAAATGGGTTGATGGTGGCTTAACCAATGGCCTCCCTATCCTGCCATGTGGCAGAACTGTAACAGTGTCTCCATTTTGCGGTCGATTTGACATCTGCCCACAAGAAAAAGGACACATGGATATCTATGCTAAAGTTGCAAATCAAGACATAATGGTGAGTTGTGCAACTGAAGTGGCATGTGCCATAGCTTCAGCAAAATAGTCTACATAGGGAGGCAAATATATGTTTCTAGGCATTTAACTTTTCTTTAAAAAGCCTCTCTTATTCCTAATATGAAGGATAAATAGATCACTCAGATACAAGAATTAAACAATTTTCATTAAGAAAAATCAAGCCTGTGCTTTTGTGAAAGTTTGATGCTTTTCTTAATGTTATACATCTTCAAGACTGGGTAAGCTACCAATTTAAAAAGAACAAATGATGAAATAAAAATGCTTAAAAGTTGTTCATGTTTAAGGTCTTCTTTCGAGCAACCTGCTAAGTGCAAATGGAGGACTGTATATTTAAAGTAGCCATAGAGGTAATGAGAAGTTTTGCATGAAACTTTAATAGCCCTTAAGTTTGGTATGCATTGTACTTGGACTTGCTTTTTATTTGGCTGAGGAGTGGTAAATCTATGTTTTGTTCCATAAGTCAGTTGCATTGCATTTCCACATTAACCTGTGAGCATTACTTTTTGAAAATGCATATTGCAATATATAGCTAAATGTCCACATTTAAATATGTATTTATTTTCAAAATACATTGAAGGTATAAGTCTGTGCATGTTTAGACAGAAATAAGTTCTGAAGTCCCCACCAGCATGGCCAGCCAGGAAATGCTGGGAAGATTAGGACTATTTTCTGTCTAAAAAATATGTAAAAGATTGCACTTTAAATACATATTTAGATGTACATTTTAGCACCAGAGGACACTGCAATATTTAGAGAATCCAGTAGATATCTGCATTCCAATGTGCATACACAGAGCATACATTTAACTATATTAATTATACATAAATGTCAGTAAGGTTTACCAAATATCAATGTATGTATCCATTTAAAAGCAGTGTCATTTACCACCTATTCAAATATTGAAAATGTTCTTAGCTTCCCAATTCATTACTTTATGAGAAGTGAGTAGGTATCCTTCCAATGTTATATTAGTAGTCTTCTAGCTATCAAAAGAGTGTGGAAAATCCATTTACATTGAATGTGCAATAAGACCATGGGCATCAGTGAACATGAAAGATGCACACTTTTGTCTGTATTATAACCTCCTCCCAAAAAGACGTGACTTCTAGACAGTGCCAAAATATATGATTAAAGGAAACATTCCTCAGTGATTAGCCAACTTAGGTAAACTGAAAAGGCATCATAGTACATAAGAGTTCTTGTTGAATAAGATGTAACCCAGGGGCCATTGAAGCTTCAGATGTAGAATCTAAAGTGACAATCCATTGATGAGAAGAACAGTAAAATCCAATCTCCTTTTCCATTCTTGCTTAAGATGTTGTATATCATATTTATTCACTGATAATAAGTATTTGTAAACATGGCCTGTACGAGCTTATTACCTCAAAGTAAAGCTAACCCAAACAGAAAAACATTACGAGCACTTCATCTGTCTTGCTTCTTGGTTGCAGTTGTCTACAGCCAACTTCAAAAGGTTTCAACAGGCTCTATTTCCACCAAGCCAGGAAAAAATGGAATTACTGTACCAAGATGGATATGAACACACCATTAATTTTTTATTGAAGGAAAACTGGTTTGAATAGAGTATATGTGCCCAAAGTTAATGAAGTCTGATGGCAGTCAGAACAAAGCTAGAAACACTCTGCAGAGCCCAATGGATTGCTGTCAGAATTTCTGTTTATGTAGAACGAATGCCATAGGAATTGCATCTGTTGCTACCAAACAACTGTTAATATGTAGACACATTGGATGGAATTTGTAAATGGTTCACGTGCATTGGAATTGTACTCCTATAGTAAGAGGATATGCTTTTAAGAGAAGATCAAATGAACAAAAATCAAAGGCTTTTTGCGGACTGTATGATTTTAGTACACTATGCAACAATAGTTCAAGGAATGCTGAAATAAGACTTGCCAGCATTAATTGCATTTGAGATATATGTTCACATTGTGGTCCAAAAATATACATTGTCTTCAGAGAGCTAAATATTCACATTTTTTTCAAGTAATCCTATTTGTGTGTGCCCATTAATTGACTTATTCATTTTGGTTTTAAAATCTGTTCCTGTCCCCACAGTAGTGTACACTCAAGCATAAATTCTAATTATAAAGAGACTGTGGGAGACAGAACAGCTTAATTGCGTATCTTTTAATTGTTATGCATATGTGTTTACCCATTACTACATCTTGTTCTTCAAATATGTTGCATAACTTTTAACATTTTGTTTGCATAGTATAGTGTTTCAGAATGCTAAAACTTGTTTGCTGTCATACAAAATTCATTGCAGAGAGGGAGAGTAGAATTAAAAAATGGTGGCGACAGTGAGATGGATCCAATCCCAAATTCAGACCAGAACAAATCCTGATGATGTATGAAGCATATTAAAGCAGTCCTTTCCCACAAAACTCCAAAAGAGAGAATTGGTCATAAATACCCAAATTGCAGAGATGGCCAAAGGATTTTTAAACTGTTAGGAACCCACAGGGTTTAAGGTTTCCATTTCTAATTGTGGTGGCAGTACAATGTAAGAAAAAGATTTATTCTGGTTTGATTGTATATGAAAACATCAATTTATTGAATTGGCAATATTTTGAATAAATGCTTGTTTTATTGCAGATCTTTTGGAATATTTTCCATCATTTAGTTGCCTATTATTTCTCCTGAATGACTGACCCAGATATCATAATTGAAACATACAGTAATTAAGCACAGAACAAAATCATGTGCTCAGCCACTGCTGAGTATACAGAAAATCTTACTGTTCATGTAACTACTTCTGTTGAAGAGCAGTTTTTCTCTTCATAAATAGCACAAGTTGCAAATGAAGTTCTGACTATGCCCCAAGCTCTTCACATACATTTATTACTTCTATACGTTACTGCTATGGTCAAGGGTTTATTTATTTATTTGTATATAAGCCTATCTTCACAAATGGGAATTAATTCTAGGAATGAGAGGCCTTCCCTCTGTTTAACCTTACTGCTGTTTCCTCCACTCTGCATTCTGCTCCACCTGAATGCTGATAGCACAGTCATTTCTAAAACTAATTCCAGAATCAGTGCATGGGTGCAAGCCTTAGCATTCAGATCCTTCTTTACATTACAGGTGTGGCTTGGTAAAAGAAGCACACAAAAAGAATCTTGCTGTAAGCCTGTATGTGAAAGCATCAGGATTCTTCTGTATGGTTTTATCGAGTGCTTTCCTAGTACCCAGTAAAAACACTGCAGAAAAGTCTTTGTACATTTAGTTCTTATTTTAAGATATTTTAATGTCACTTTTCAGGACTAAAGTGTTCCATCAAAGTAGCTTACAATCAGGAATAGTATCAATTTGGCTTTTTTGTACTGCTTTATCACTGAAAGCAAGCATATTAGTTACACTGCAAAAAGAGTCTTCATGCAATTATTCATATAATCCTTGCAAGTTAGATAAAACATAGCAAAGCTATACATATTGGAATATTGTTCATTAAGAGAAGATCTGCATCTGAAGTTTCTAGTGAGAAATTCAACACCAGTATTTTTCGATCGAGGTACTGGCAAAAATGGCCCAAGAAACTCCATGCAACATTTTACACAATTCTGTTATGTTTAGAGATGGTCACTTTTTTGCTAGAAGTGATACCTTCCCTCTGCCCCTTCCATTCATTTGAAAACACTAGTTTGTTACACTTCAAAGTGGTGATTAAATTGCTATCAACAGCTGCCATTTCCCCTGTATAATGCTTCCTTGTAACCATGTAAGATGATCTCAGTAGAACTTGGTTTGATATAAAGGAAAAACCTTACAAATAGACCTTTGGGGACAGGGTAATTGTGACATGTATAAAATGAAGGCAATCTGTGTTGAATCATCATTAATGGTGCTTTGTTTATCCAGACTTCTGTTGCATAGGTGATGGTTCTTCAGCTTCTAAAGAATGGACTTAATAGGTGCAAAAAACATTTCAGTGTGAAGCATTCTTTTTTTTAAGCGGCTTGCTCTTTTAATATAGGGCTATCAGGAGTCAACGCTTGAATTTGACCTGATTTTCAATAGGTAGATAACAATGTAAGAAAATCATTGAGGGCATGCATTCTCAGTGACCTCTATTACTGACAAGATGACACCTACAGTCTGAAGCAATATTCTTCCAAACTAGGGTATTAGTTTCAAGAGGGACTGCATGGAAACCTCTATGCCTGGAACATTCTGATCATTTAGCATCACACTGGATACTGTCTTTTCTTTGAAGGCTGCTTTCATCAGGATTTTTTTTTCTTTTTGACTTTTCACTTTTACATGAAAAAGTAAATAATAGACAGCTATGAGTTTCTTTTTAACCCCTATTGTGATTTTATACATTAGGAACAATACTTGATATGTTACTTCCTGGATCCCATTTTTCTAGCATGAAGAATCCTCATATTCTAAGGTTCTTCCGTGATGGAAGCATACGATTGTCTGTCACTGAAATTACAGGCAAAAGTCTGTCTACTTCAGCAAGAAGTTTCCTAGAGATGTCTATGGGAACTAGAGAACTGTTGGGAAGCCAGTGACTACTGCACTAATTAAGGCTGCAATCATAGGAATATACATTTACTGGGTGAAATTCCTACATAACATAAAGGGGCTTACTTCTGAATAGGTGTGTATAGGATTGTATTGTAAATGTATTAAAGATATATGTATCTTTATATATGTATATGTATATTTTAATTTTTGTGGTTTTATTTATTGTTGTAAGCCGCCCCTAGGCTTCGGCGAATGGGGCGGCATAAAAATGTTTTAATAAATTAAATAAATAATAATAATCCTTTGCATGTTTAAACATCAAAGAGATCCACCAATCCCAGCATTCCCCAATGAAATTGTTAAGCCAATCAGTGCTTGTGTAATACTTTTCCTGTAAAAATCACCATACTCTACCCATCTAGCTAGTGGAGAAGAAGATTGAAATGGTTAAACTTGTGGTTTGAGATTGCCAGGCATCCTTCATTCTGACATCTACTCATTAATGAAATCAATTTTTGTAGCGATGTAAAAACTCTTGCAAGTCTGCTTGTACTAATATACCTTATAGAAATATGTTGAAATTCCATCCCTATAGCATTTGTGGAGTTCCTTTCATGCTTGTTCTTGTTTTGGAAAGTGAGCCATAGAAAGTTTGTGAATGCTCATGGAATGATGGTTGTGCAACTGGTAACCCTCTTCTGTGCTGTGTGCAGGGGCACAAACAAAGAGTGCTGCATGTGGTGTGGAAGACAGATATCATTTATGAAGCTCATGGGGCTACAGTCCTGGTGGACAGAACATAAACACTGGGCACACTTGCCAGGAACGGTGTCTCAGAGCCATGTCAAAGCTCTCAGACCAGCCCATGGAATCTGTTGCATTCCTGTGTTCTTAGTGCTTTAGGCCTCATTCACACTTACTGTAATACGCATATTACTGAATTTGTAAAAATCTCGCACAGCAAAAACTAGTCCGAAAGGCTGTTCAACTCAGAAAACACTTGTAGTCTGTGGGTTTCTCATGTTGAATTCATAGCCATTTGAAGTCATTTGTATCTGTTGTGGATTTTTCCAGCATCACCGGAGAAGATGATCTGGGCTGGATGCTACTCATAGCGATGGGGAATGTTAGACCCACCAGATGTTGGGTTCCATCATCTCTCAAAACTGGCTATGTTGAAGTTGATGGCAGTTCCCCAACTTCAGGAGGACTGCATATTTCCTACCTCTACTGAATACTGATTTTTATATCATGAAATTAGATGCTATTATAATTTAATAATATAGTGTATTACTTAGCATTTCTGTGTTGAATGCCAAAGTGCATGCTTTGTATACAAGACAAGCATTGCAAAATTTATTTTGAGAGTATGGCATGATTTTTTAAATGAAGAAACAGGAAGAATGCATGGATGAATCTGCCAATATTGCTTCCATTTACATCATCATCATCATCATCATCATTATTTAAATCAAGTAACTGTTGTTTAGTTTATAATTAAATTAACACATTTTCACAAACCATTGACGAAAAAGAACTGAATAAATTCTCACCCATCTCTGCTGTACAGTACTATGCTAAGTGCATGCATTCTTAAAAAAAAAGAAGCAAGATAAATGTTTAAATGGTGGCAGACACAGACAGAGGTGGGAGAAAGAAAGGCACAGACAACTAGCTAGGTCTCCAGGGAATAAAATAAAGTTCCTTATAAAGTACGCATCTTGTTAGAGGTGAGGGAGGAGGCAAAGCTGCAGCTCAGCTCAGTTCAGCACGAGCGATTTTCCTTGCTTTTTTGTCTGCAGCATGTGCAGTATATTTCATTTTCTCCATTTTTCTCTCTTACTCCAAGAAGATAGTTCCTCGAGAATCAGAATCTTTAGTCTGTACCATTTTCCACCCATCTTTCCTAAATAGAGGCATTATCATTGTGGACAAAATATTTTAAGAAGAGTGTGTGCTGGGCAGTAGGGGAAAGTCTAGTTGTTCTAAACATGTACAAGCTGGAAAATTATTTGGAAGAGGAGGAAGACTCAGCAAATCCTTGGCGCTCAAACAAAATTATCCTAATTCAAGCAGTGCAGAGCCTCACTTGGCTAGGAGCTCCCTGAACTGGCATCTTGCATCTGCTGAACCCAGGCTTCCTGGCCATGATCTTGTCTTTTCCACAGTAAAAATAGCCTAAACCAGGGAAGCGAATGTGGGTAGAGGGCAGAAGAGGCCTCTCATAAAACAGAAAGGGCACTTAGACGTCCTCCTGCAGTGGCAGATGAGGCACAAAGCATGGGGACTACAAATACCTGCATGATCCCCAGTGGGAAATGAGGCACAATCATTTGCTTCTAAAGAGAGAGCCCTCCAGGCCTCTGGTGCATTGGTAGGAGTCCTCTGCATCTCTTCTTTTCTTCCTCTTCTTCTGCTCAGGAAAACCTTTTTGCTCAGAATCCTTTTTGCTGTGGATGGACTGACAAACAGACCGAAACACGAGTGTAAAACTATCTGTACCTGTGAATGAACCTGAACATTGACACATTCGGGAACATTCAAAACCACATTTCTGTGTTCACATACATGCTTCTGCAGTGGGATGGTGGCGCAGCACTGCTTCAAGTGTGAAACAAGCCATGCCCTATAGGATGAGGCAGTTCAAAATCCAAAGAGACAACCCACAATTCTAGTGGCAGCTCAGATGAAATGTCTTGGAATCATTCGAGGCTGGCAGACAATTGGAACGTCCTATGTAGAGTGCATGCACAGTGTGACTCTGCCTGCGTATATTATTACGGCAGTGAAACAGGTTGTACTGCTCCAATATGACAGGGATCTCTTACTATTCATTTGCATTGCTCCTTATCTTTTCCAACTATCGGGAAAATATATCTGTGTGACTTCAGGATTAACACATAAAATAAACACATTCTTTCTAATTTATTTCTTCTACTGAAATCTGCTTGCAAAATTAGGCTTTCACAAGATGTTTGCCTGGAAAAACCAACCTGGGTGCAGGGAATCTTCTCTCCTTATAGAAATGTGCCAAAAATAACTATTTTGAAAGGCGTACCCCCAGGACAGGTAGTAATATTTTGGTCAAACACCGTGTAGCTTGTAGGTCTGCAAGTAGAGA